ATTTATCCTTTATATTTGTCGCCATTACGTAAAATTCCTGGCCCGCCTGTTGATAACTTAATTCTTGGACATTATTCCTCTTTATTAAAAAAAGATCATAGTAATGCCTTTTTTCACTTAGCAAAACAATATGGTGGGATAGTTAAATATCATTCTTTATTGAATGAAACCCATCTCTTAATTACCGATCCAAAACTCGTACAAATGATATTGATGAGTCGTTCGTATGAATTTCAAAGGTTCGACGTGAATAAAGCTATAATCAAGGAGTTTGTTGGTGAAGGTATTATACTTTCTGAAGGAGATTCTCATAAACGACAAAGAAAAATGATGTCTCCTTCATTTTCTTTTGCCAATGTCAAGGTATTCTTTTACGACAATTAATGTTCTATTAAAAAATTAATCCGTATAATTAGATCTAACAATTTTAAACGTTTTAACTTTAAGGAAATGACTCCAACATTTGTTCAAGCTGGCCATAATTTAAAGGATATCTGGATGAAAGAAATTGGTAACAAGAAAGAGAAAAGAATTACGATTACGGCTGTAATTTCAAATGTAACTTTGGATGTTATTGGCCTTGTTGGTAAGTATTAGTTTATATTCGTACTATATGTTAAGTTTTTTTTTTTTAATAACAACCTAATCGCAATCGTAATCATATTATTTATTGTAATAGGATTCAACTACAAATTTAATTCTACAACTACAGAGTCTGAATTATCTAAAGCATACAAGTTTGTAACTAGTCGTAATCATACGCCTTTATTCATAGTTCTTTCCAACCTCCTTCCGTTTCTCAGAAAATATCCAACACCTGATAACAATAAACATTATGAATCTCTCAAAATTATTTATAATATTTCTGAGAAACTACTTGATGATCAAAAAAATAACCCTGTTCGAGGAACAGACTTATTGTCATTATTAGCAAAAGCAAATGTTAACTTGCCCGTTGACCAACAATTAACTCATTATGAGTTAATTAGTCAGGTAAGGATTAATTTATATTATTAAACTTTTTATTTATAATTTTATTAAGTTTACTTAAAATTTAAATCTATTAAATTTCAGATTATGACATTACTCATAGCTGGACATGAGACCACCAATCTTACATTATCTTGGGCACTATACTTTCTCGCAGCAAATCCTGAAATTCAAGATCGTCTTCGCAACGAAATACTTGATATATTTCCTGATCGTGATTATCATCCAACTTTTGATCAAATTGAACAATTGAAATTTTTAGAATGTGTCTTAAAGGAAGTTTTAAGAATCACCCCGCCTGGTATAGTTCAATATCTCTTTTTATTTGGAAATTATTAATTACCTACTTTATTCTAACTCTAAGTTATATGAATTTAAGTGCCTGCACTCTTTCGTATTAATGTAAAAGATGAAATGTTTAATGGTTACCTTATTCCAAAGGTATTTTCTTAATTATTTTCTTAATAATTTTCCATGTGTAATTTATTTGATAAATAATGTTATAAAACTTTAATTTTTTTTAGAATACACCATTGACGATCCCCGTCTATGCAATCCATCATGATC